CTGCGCTCCGCGAATGCAGAGACGCGAGTCTACGACTGCCGAGTCAGCAGCGGCAGCTCTCGTTTTGCCGAGAGCCAGCCAGAGAGAAGTTGCTCTCGCGCATTCCAGCCAGTTTAAGCACTCCCCTAGATATGCAGACTTTATGCCCTTTCCGCGCTCGCTCGGCCGCGCCGCCGCTTCCGCCGCTAGCAGTCCGCCGAGATATTCCCTACTGCTGCGGAGCTCGCGATCGCCGCGCGCGCTCAGGCTAGGCGGCTCGCTCTATATATAGCTCGCACACGTCTCGCAGCTTCCTCGCATCGGAGCTGCCGCTCGCAGCTTCATTAAGATTCTACCGCGGGCCGGCGGCGAGAGCGCGCGAAAATTGCCAAGATTTATGGGCAGATGAGCCTCTGGCCGCGTGCCTGCCTAATTACCCGCGGCGAGGCCTGCGCTGCTGCCACTGGCGCCGCTCGTGCCACCGATCGAGCAGCGCTCGCCTGCCCTCCCTCGGTCGCTTGCGTCGCTGTCCTCCGATCCAGTTTCTAGTCGAGCGCGCGGCTTAGGCAGCGGCTCTCTTGCGCGGCGCGGCCAGCGCGAGCCGCCCGCGGCTAGCTGCGGAGCGCGGGGCAAAAAAGCGGCAGCGGCAAGCGACCGGCCAGCGGAGCCGCGCACACTCCGAGAGAGGTGTGAATGGTCCGCCTACCATAAAGCAAAGTGCAGTCTGCGCGCGAGTCGAGCTGCTCCTTTTCCCCTCTTACCGTCGTCGCGTCTGCGCTGCGCTCGGACGCCTCGCGTTTTCACGCCTTTTTTTCGCGAATTCCGCTCCGAGAGCGCCGCCAGGGAAAGGCACCGGCGCCGAACTCGGCCTGCCAATTTCGACCGTGGGCCCGTGGGCCGTGGCGCGAACCCGCCAATTTCGGCCTGTTCGCGCCGATCGCGCGCCCCTCCGCATTTATCTCCCGTCTCGCCGTGCTTCCCCCCTCCTCGTACGTTGATTAGGGGCCAATTTCACGTTCACGGCCACCCTGGTACTCGACGCCAACGCCGCTCGCGACCTGCCGACCGTTAGTATCGCGCGTGGCTGTCGTTGGGTCGCAGAGCCAGCAGTCGATCGGCTAATCTGGCTTCGTCAGCGGAAAATGATTGGCCACGTGGAACAGCTTGTCCCGTGCGCGGAGTCCTAGGTTTGGATGCACTTGGACTGGACTGGACTTTATGCAACTCCCGACGCGAGAGGTTGGATGCACTTGGACCAGCGCCGATCAATCCTTGCGAGTCGGGCTCGCACATAGCTCTGCGCGTAGTCGCGCTGGACAGAGGCGATCTTTCGACGGGACTGCGCGCGAGAGCGAGACGCATGGCCGCTCGCGCGCTTCCGAAATCAAATCCACGCGCAGGCTAAGCGCGACGGAACCTCGAGCGCCGACTACGTCCACGAGGAAATCATTTGCGCATGGTGCGATGCACCCAACTTTTTATCGCTACTCGCTGCAATCGCACACTCCACGCGCGTCTGCTTGGTATGAGACGACACGGGCAGCGTGTCTCTCTCTCTCTCTCTCTCTCTCTCTCTCTCTCTCTTCTCTTCTACAAGGCAATTACGCGTGGCTGCAGAGTCGCAGCCACAGGGGAAGAGAAGCAGAGGAAGCAGAGAAGCGTGATGGCGCGACGAAAGTGGCGGTGTGCCTGCGACGACGCGACGACGACGGCGATCTCTCTCATGAAAGTCAGATAAGTAAGCTCGCGAGAGAGAGAGAGAGAGAGAGAGGGAGGGAGAGAACACGCGGAAAAACAAAGGGAAAGACGGAAGAGGAAGGCAAGTCATAAAGCATTGGCTTACTAATGGGCCGACGAGTGTCGTTCGCTCGTTTCTCTTCCTGTCACGTCGGTCAGACGCAGCCGAGGAAGCTGCTTTACATCGATCAATAGATAGACCTCGCTAATTACCGCGCAGATCGACATTAACGTTCGCGTATCCTTCCGCACGAAGACAAAGCGTGGAGCTCGAATGAGAAAGTCGTCCGGCTGATCTGTAGGAAGTCTACGGGCAGGGTGCGTACGCCGTTACACGTGTGGAGCAGGTGCGGCGAGACAGCCGGTGCAGTGCGCCGCGAAGGCCATGCTATCACTGCCGGACTATGGTTAATTGGCTGGAGAGCGCGAGCGAGCGATCGTCCGCTGGGACTGCAGCCTCTCGCCTACGCGGTCGCGCGCGCCGCAGCCCCCGGTTCGCCGCCGTCGGAGAGCCGCGTCAAGTGCACGGCCGTCCCTCATAATTGCCGCGAAATGCAGCGCCTCGAAAGCCGATTATTTGCCGATTGTTTGCCGATTGTTTGCCGATTGTTTGCCGATTAAAGTCCCTTCGGCCGAGCGCGCACGGACCGCGGACGCATGCGCGGTCCCGCGCGTGTCGATCCAACGAGAGGCCTGCACGCGGCGTTCCACTTACTTGCGCCGCGTCCACCGAAAAATTCGCAGCCTCTTGAATTATTCCAGCGAGCGGATAATTATTGCTGGGCCCTCTCGCCAGATCCGAATGCTGTGATGCGCGCACGCAGGTGAATTATACGCCAGGTGGTTTAAGGAGCGACCGGTGGCGGCCTTCAATTGAATCATGTATCGGTATCCGCGCGCTATTCAGCTTTCTCACGAGAGCCGCCGCACTGGCAGCGAGCGGGCTCGATGAATCGCCGAGCGCAGACGTCGTAAAATCATTTGTTAGAGCGGCCCGACGTGCACGCCGCGCGCTTATCAGGATTACGCAATCGAGCGCGAACCGCGCATGCCTCTCCGAATGATGTTTGCCTTCCGTTCGTCGTGTAATCGATGGATGGTCGCGCGTTGGCATACAAATTGCGCGAGTGCGCTGGCCGCGCCGGATGGCGAATGGGCCTTTTCGAGACGAGTCGGGAGCGCCGACCAAGCCCGCGAGGGGCGACGAGCGCGCGGCGAGCCAGTGCCAGTGCCAGGGGAGTGCTCGTCGGAAATGGAACTCGCAGCGGAGACACGTCTGCGAGCGCCTTTCGGATTTACGGACCGATCGTGAGAGTGCGAGCGTCGGCGCGTGAAACTGGGCGAAATCAAGGGCTCTTGCAAAAGAGCGCCCAAGCCGCAGCCGCCGGCGACCGATCCGACTGCGGTTGCGCAACGGCGCGTGTATGCAGATAACGGTGCCGGATAATTGCGCGAGACTTTTGACGCGATAATATCGAGCGAGCAAGAGGTCGACGCGGAGATCGAAGGAGAGAAAAGTACAAGTTGCGCGTAGCCGCTGTCAGAGCAAATTAATAAGGAGGAGGCCGAGGTAGACGCAGGGGCGCAGGGGCGCAGGGGCGCAGGGGCGCGGCGGCGCGGCGGCGCGGCGGCGTGACAACCGGCCACACACTGACCGCTGCCGCGCGCGCAGCCTCCGGCGTAATTATTCAGCGCTCGCGCCTCGCCGCAGCGCTGCCCGACTGGCAGGCCGCCGTCTCGTTTTCGGTCGGGCGTTCGTCGGCCGGGCTCCGTCCGCGCGACACGGCTCGCCTTTCTTTTTGTAGTCGGGCTGCCTTCTTTTTCTGATTTCGTTTCGAGCGCACGGGCAGGTTTATGTAGCTGCGCCGTAATTGACTCAATGTCCAATTGAATTTCACAAAAACGATGACGAAATTTATTAGTGGCACGTAGCACGTAGCCTGCGACTAATTGTCGCGCGGCCGGCCGGCGTTCGCTGTTGCTCCGCTGCTTTGTCAGCATCGATTATAAATTACAATATAACAAGATTCATACTAATTTAACGGCGCAGGCGCGCTCGCCATCGGGCGCAACGCCTATTTGGACAGGTCGTAAAAGCCAGGCAGGAGGGGAGAAAGCCTATCCGTAGAGTATAATTTACAGCCTAGACTCGCCTCGCGTATGCAGGCTTATTGATCACGTGTCAAATTTTAATAAGTTGCAATTAATTGAGCTCGGCGCGGAAAAGGGGGCAGCGGCCCATTAAAAGCCGAGTTTATGAAAACGGCTGCGTGCGCCGAGAACGAGGAGCGCGAGGCGCGCGAGGCGCGCAAAAAGGCTGCCAGCGAGCGCGAGGCTCTCATGCTAATTCAATCGATAGCGGATAGGCGCGCGTCCGCGCAGCCAGCCGGCTCTCCCGCCGACGGACTGCGCTGTTCCCACAGCGCTAATACGCATATTACTCTCGAGGCTTAGATCGATCGGCCGGGCAAGGTCGCGCTTTGGAAAGGCGAAAATCCGCGAGCGGCACTTGACCGCTGCCTGCGCGCCCGAGCGGCTGCACCTGCAGCGGCCGAGCGTCGAGCGCGGAGCGCGGAGCGCGAGATAGGGCTCGCATTGTTTACGTACGCGGTGACGCAACGGCGCGCCGACCGTGAGAGTGAGCGCGCACCGCTCGCCTGCCCTCTCGTATCCAATTTATTATCGGCCGATTCGCCGGCGTTCTCGCTCTTTCTCTCTTTTCGCGCGCGATCGCGCGCCCCGATACGCCCGGGCCGCGCGCTCGCCGACGCGACGAGCCGTCGACTCGTCGCGGAGCGGCTTCGCGCGCAATTCGCCATCCGCGGCTGCGCGACTAGCCGCGCACGAGAAAGCAGTGCGCGGCGGGCAGCAGCGGCAGCGGCAGCGTCGATGTATCTTTTCATAAGCTAACGGTAAGCGACTCGTACGTATCGTCGCGATGATAATCCGCGCACGGCTCACTCGTGGTCGAGCTCTCGACCCGACGATCATGCGACCGCGCGAGGCCAGGCACGGCGCGCCGACCGGCGGACAAAACCGCGCGGACGGAGAGAGATCCGGCGAAATCTATGTAATTTCAGTGGGAGCGCTCGCTCTCCTTCTCGAGTGCACGGCCGTAGGCGCCCTCGCCGCAACGACGCTTCGCGATAGCCGACAGTCAAACGAACAGTGCGTAATCGGCGCCAACGGTACCGGGGCACGCGGCAGACTGGGCGCGGGAGCAGATTCGGCCGGGCGCGATTGGCACGGCCGCGGGCGCAGGGCGGGAGTGGGTGGGCACTGACCTCAATGATCTCGCTGTCCAGGTCCCTGGCGCTGATGGCGCTGCGCAGCTGCTCGCCGCGGTACTCCCTGTAGCGCATGCTGAGCTCGTCGTCGGTGAGGGTGCCGCTGCTGCCGGCCCGCGTGCTCCGCTTGCTCTTCTCCTCCTTGGCCTTCTTCTCCTTCTTGCGGAACAGCTCCTTCACCTTGCTCATGGTGCCGCTCTTCTTGGCCGCCTTCTTCTCGTACTTCTTCGCGTCGGCGCAGCCCGAGGGCGGCTTGGAGGCGAGCACCGGCTGCACGATCGAGCCCTTGCTGTCGTAGTACACCACGTACTTGTCGCTGTAGCGCCGCTGCTGGTGCTGGTGCTGCTGCTGCTGCTGCTGCATGCTGCGGTCGGTGTGCCGGCGCTCCTGCTTGATCAGCTGCATGCTCGCGATGCCCTCGTCCTCGGACTCGAGCTCGGGCCGCGCGTGCGGCTCGCGCCGGTAGTCGTTCTCGATGCCCGAGTCGGCCAGCCGGTCCTTGCGCTCGCTGTCGCTGAGCCGGGTCTCGCGCAGCTGCTGGCGGCGCTCGCCGTAGGCGCGCGACTGGCGCAGCTTGCTCTCGTGGTGGGCGCGCGGCGGCCGCTGCGGCGGCTGCTCCGCGAAGTCGCACTCCGGGCCGGCGCCCGTGCCGCCGGCGCCGCCGCCGCTCGGCAGGCCCTTGCTGCAGCCGCTGGCGCGCGAGGCGTCGCTGTCGTCGAGGTAGTCGAGCCGGTTGCGCGAGCGCCGCGTCGGCTTGTCGGGCTCGTCCTCGAGGAGGCGCCGCTGCCGCGGCTGCTGCTCGCCGCGCGGCGAGTCGCGCGCGGCCGCGTCCGAGTCGTAGCGGCCGCAGCCGTAGCCGAGGCGCGGCCGCGGCCGCGGCGAGCTGTCGTAGTCGTCGCGCGAGCGCAGCTTGCTCTTCTGGTACCTGCTGCTCTGCGTCGTGCGCGTCTCTCGGTAGTACTTGCTGCAGGACGACTCGAGCTGGCTGTTGGTCGCCTGCGAGATGTCGGTGTCGTAGTCGTCGAGCGGCGCCTCGCGCAGCTCGTCCAGCCGCGCGAAGGCCCGCGGCTGCCGCGCGTTCGCGTAGTCGGCCGAGGCGAGGTTCTCGTGCGAGCGCGTGGCCAGCTCGCGGCGCAGGCCGCCCTCGAGGCGCCGCCGCTCGAGCCCCAGCTGGTCGAGGCGCTGCGTGGACTTGCTCCTGCCGCGCAGCGCCTCGAGGTGATGCTTGCCCCGGGCGGGCCGGCCGGCCGCCGGCGGCGGCTCGCCGCGCGCGCCCACCGCCGGCCGCCCGACCGCGGCCGCCCGGCCCGGGCCGTCGCGGGCGCGCGCGCGCTCGCCCTCGTAGCCGCCGTGGTTGCGCGTCTCGATGACGTAGCGGTCGCCGAAGCCGTCGGTGCGCGTCTCCAGCGTGTAGCCAGGCCGGGGCTCCAGCGGCTCCAGGCCGAGGCCGGCCTGGCTCGCCGGCAGCTTGTTGATGGTCTTCTCGTAGCCGTAGACGCGGCCGTCCTCGTCGTGTAGCTCCTGCTCGAAGACGTACTTGTCGCCGTGGCTGTTGGTGCGCGTCTCGCTGACGTAGGTGTCGGTGTAGCGCTTGGCCGAGTGCGCGGCCACGCTGGCCGGCACCACCGGCGACGGCACTATCGGCTTGTCGATGATGACGTCGTGCTCGGCCCTGCCCGCGGCCGGCGCGCCCGCGCCCGCCTTGGCGGCGAAGGCCTCGTCGGCCAGCAGCCGCGACTTGATCCGCGACTCGAGCAGGTCGCGGCGCGCGCTCAGCTCCGAGCTGCGGCTCGGGGCCGCGCCCGGGCCGCCGCGGGCCGGCTTGCAGTCGGTGCCGTCGGCCCTGCCGCGGCCGGGCGCCGGGCCGCAGCCCTCCACGAACACGGTCGAGGTGTACTTGCCGGGCCCGGGCGGCTCGCCCAGCAGCGCCGCGCCCTCGGGCTCGTAGGCCGCGCGCGACTTGTAGCTGTTGATCCGGTTGTTGCGCTGCTGCAGCAGCTCGGCCGCGAGGTAGCCGGCGGCGCGGCCGCGCGGGTAGTCCTTCTCCGCGGGGCTGTTCTCGCGCGAGGAGTCCTTGCGCTCGAGGCCCAGGCCCTCGTCGCTGTCCGAGTGGCTGCGCTGCGCGGCCTTCTTCTTGTCGAGCTGCACCTGCGCGTAGATGACGACGTCGGGCCCGGCGGGCTCGGGGCTGGGCCTGGGCGCGCCCGCGGGCGCCGCCTCGCCGGCCGGCCGCGTGTACGAGAACGGCCGGTTGTTGTTGTGGCCGAAGCCCGGCCCCGGCGAGACCATGGCGCGCGTCAGCTGCGGCGGCGGCGAGCGGTCCGCCGACAGCCGGTGGATCATGCGGTGAATGGCCGACTCCTCGGCCGGCCGCGGCTGCTCGTAGCGGCCGCCGTGCAGCATGCTGCGGCCGGCGCGCCGCTCCGCCTCGTCCTGCTTCGGCTTCTTCGCCTCGGCGGGGAAGTGGAAGGGCCGCGGCTCGGCGGCGCCGGTCTGCGGCGCGGCCTCGATTATGGGCGAGAGCGGCGCCGGCTTGCGCTGCCACTCGGCGCTGGCGGCCGCGTCGCTGTGGCTGCGCTTGACGCTGCTGCCGGCGCTGGGCTGGGCGGCCGGCTCGGCCGGCGGCGGGCCCTGCGGGCGCTCTAGCTGGGCCGAGCGGGGCCCGGTGATCGCCGGCTTGACTCGGCCGCACGAGGCATCGCTCTGGCTGCGCTCGAGGGCCGCTTTCTTGGTGGGCCGCGCGAGGTCGGCGCTGCCGGCGCCCGGGGCGCCGATCTCCTCGCTGCGCCGCCGGCGGGCGCGCTCCTGCGAAGGCGGCGGCGGCGGCTGCTTCGCGCGGCGCCCGCGGCTCGGGAGGCTACCGTAGTGGCGCCCGGCGTCCGGCGACTCGAGCGCCACGCAGTCGACGCTGTCCGCCTGCTGCAGCACGTAGGCGGCCTCCTGCGCGAGGTCCTCCTTGCTGCGCGCCTTGATGCTCTCCTTGCGCACTGGCGTGGTCGTCAGCCGGCCTTCGCCGTCGCCGACGAGGGCCGTGGTCACGTACGGGCAGCCGCGTCCTGCAACAGCCAATCGGAGCGTCGCCGGTCAGAGAGGTGCGTGCGTACGCGCGCCGGGACGCTGCGCTCGGCGGGCCGATCGCCGCCGAAATGCTCCTTTTGCGGGATCGCGGCGCGCGAGCCAGAGCAAACAGGTTGCGAGGCAGCGGAAGCCGAGATTTATGCGCCGATCGCACTGACAGTGATAAGTTTCACATCGCGCCATTTTTCCCGTCGTAAATTATTTTCACTCTCTCCTCTCGGCATCGATTATATACGCGCGACGCGGCAATTTATTGCGGCCGAGCGCGCGGCCATCCGAACTCGCGCGCGCGCGTATGCACGCTCGCTCCGGCAGCGCGATGCAGTGCAATAACAAGAGAACGGTGCAGCACGTGCTCCGGTGCTCGCTCACGAGGACAATCGTGGCTCCGGAATCGAGCTTTCACATCGGGATGCACGCGCCGGCGATAATGGAGATCGCGAGCGAGCGAGCGAGCGGCCGGCCAAATGCATGCACGCGAGCGAGTGACACCGATAGTCGCGAGCCGATCCGTCGATGCGTGCAGTGCTCGTGCGCACGACGACGAGCTGCCATAATGATTGACGTGGGCCCGATTCGCCACGGCCACGGTACGGGGAGAGCGCGGCTTTGTGTCAGAGGTCGCGCCCGGGCCGCGATGAAAGCTGGATAGCGCGCGCCGCCGATGCACGCGAACGGTATACGTCTGTAAGCGTTCGACGCCGATCCCCCGCGGCTACGGACGTCGTGCATGCAGCGCGACCGCACGCGCGCATCCTCTGCGGCTTTGACGTCCGATCGATTCCGCTTTCGCTCTCGCTTTCTCGCTCCGCTGCGGCTCTGGGTGCGGGCCGGCCGGCGCGTGGAGCAGCGCGCCCGACGGCGACAACGAGCAGGGCTCGGTCGACGAGAGGGGCAAAGCGCTGCCGCGGCTACGCGCGGCGTCTCTCCGGCAGTTTATTGTTTGGTTCGATCCTCATTTCCTCGTAATAAGCCTACGAGCCGCAGGCAGGGGAGCGCGCGAGAGCGGCGGCGGCGCGCACAAAGGCAGCTCTCCGAATACATCACACTCCGCAGGAATGCGCAGCTTGTTATAGGTGCCGTGTGCGCGGATTCGCGCACTTTTACCCAGAGCCAATTCATTATTCGCCGGGATGCCGTTAGCCGCGTGCGCGCCCGAGCGCGGCCGCTCGCCGAATACACGTTGTGCGCGCGCGCGCCGACGCGGCCAGCTAGGAAGTCGGCCGCGAGTGGCTTGCCCCCGCGGACTCGTCGGCGGCGAGGCGAGGGCCGCCATCTTGCCGGGCGCGCGCGCGCACCCGCGAGCGCCCGTCCGCGTGCGCCGGCGCATCGACAGGAAATTATCCGCAATTAACAGGATCGCGAGAAGATCCCGGCGCGAGCGAGAGGGAACCCCGCGAAGCCCGTCGACGTAATTTACGGCGCAGTGGTCGCAGCTGGAGAGAGCGCGGCCTGCGAGGCGAGCCGGGCGACCGGCCGGTTTTTCGCGGAAAACTGGTTCGCCCTTTGTTTCGCCTGCCGCCGCCGCCGCCGCCGCCGCCGCCGCCGCCATCGTCGCTGCAGCGCGAAGCCAGCGATTAATCTTGGCTGCACTTAAGTGACTGGCGATAATCCTTCATTAGGGCCGGCTTGACGGTTTCATTCGAGCGGCGGTTCGTCCGGCCGACGGCACTCGATTCGCCGAATCGGACTGTCGGGCCGCGCTCGCCGAGTTTGACGGATCGCGATCGCGGAGCCGCGCGCTAATCGCCCGCGAGCCCCGCCGATTAACAATTATCGGCCGAACGAGCCTGCAAGCGCGCTCGCGTCGACTGTTCGCACATTACTCATTCGACCGCGCGCTCTCGCATCACGAATAATTCATCCGCGGCCCGATCCTTATCCCTCGAGCCGCTCCGTTCGACTCGCTCTCCCTCCAGCAGCGCCAGCTCCATTTCCGTTATTCCCCGGTCGCCTCGCTCGCGATCGCGTGGTCGCCCGCTCGTCAAACTTTCCACTCGCCTCGTCGCGCTTTACCTCTGCCGCCGCCCACCCGACGACCCCTCCACGGGCGTGCTTCCGCGACTCGAGTCGGCCGCAGCGACAGACCGAAGCGAGGGAGGCGCCGCCCATTCGTCCCGGCCAATTGTCGGCTCACGGAGCGCGTCTGCCGAGTGCACATTTGCATGCGGCTAGCATTTGTCCCGAGCTCGGATGCGTCGCGCTCCGACACCTGCGTCCTTCCCCTCGGCAATGATCGACGCGAGCGAAAGCTCCGTCGCGCGAGCTTCCTCTCGTTCTCTTTTCCCTCGGACGGCTAACGCGATAGCGCGCATAAATACACGATGGACGCAGAAGCATGCACGAGGCGAAATATATGCAGGGCTGCAAAAAATGCAAATTTGCAAAATAACATCGCTCGAATGTTAATGAAATCAATTAAAAGACGGGGAGGGACAGTCGAGAGAGAGACCACACGCAGGTCTGGCAAGTTAAATCATCAATATTCCGAGATGTAGATAGCCACGCTCAGCTGTGCGCGCGCGCGCGCAGGAATATAATCGAGGGATTAAGCGAAGCGCGTCGCCTGGCTTCGCGGCTATTTATTAAGTGCATCTATACGACGGGGCGCTCGGTTTCATCGACGGCGTCCGGCCAAAGCTGCGGGCGCTGACTTCCGGAACGCTGGCCTGCCGTTGGTCGCGCACCTGCGAGAGAGCGCCGCGGCGCGCACGGAGAGCGGCGAGAGAGATGTTTATTGAGCCGCGGCGCGAAGCAAGGGAGGCAGGAGGGCCGAGGGGAGGGAGAGCGGGAGGGCAGCGCGCGGCCGCGGAGTCGGATTGCAAGGCGCTTTAATTGAACATAAATCGTTCATAAGGCTCCGCGCGCTGGCCGGCCTGCTCGCTCTCTCGCCGCGATTTTCAAGCGACTATCTCGCGAGCTACATCTGCGCTAGGTGCCCGGGCTCCGGCGCCGCGCGTAGCTGGGGCGACGCGAGCGGCGCGACGCCTCGGCCGCGTTCCCCGCTCAGGCCTCCCCCGCCTAATTATTAATTATCCGCTGACGCAGGTACGCGCGGACGCGCGGGCACGAGGGGAGCAAGCGAGAGAAACGGACGAACGCTTCCTTCCTTCCTTCCTTCCTTCCTTCCTCCTTGGCTTCTCTGCCTCTCTCTCTCTCTCTCTCTCTCTCTCTCTCTCTCTCTCTCTCTCTCTCTCCTCTCGCCGGCGCGGCGCTTCTTGCTCCGCGGCTATAAATTCCGCTTGCCTATGCATTGCCGCTGCAGTCGCTCGCTCGACTCGCCGCGCCAAGATTGCTTCGCTTCTTCTTCTCTCTTTCTGCAATCTGTGTCTCTGCGCGAGCGGCAGGCGAATAAAAAAAACCATCTGTCTACTTTTCTCACGAGTCCTCCGTCTCAAAAAATGGGCAGCGCACGCGAGGAAAAAGCCTCGTAAAGTACAGCGCTTGATTTGGCTTTTTACAGCGCGCATATAATAAAGGCGTGACGCGCTCCGAGCTGGTTTTTTTCTCGTCGCGCGCCGACGACCGTAGCCGTCGCAATTTATCGGGCTTCTTTCGCTCTTTCTTCGCAAACAGACTCGTGGGCACGTATCATTTCGGCCGCGCGCCGCGCCGAGGGAGCGTCGACTGGACTGCGTTCGCAGATTTGGCGATGCGATCTCGCGAGGCGTGTCGAATTCGCCGTCGGAAAAAATGGTCGGGCCGACGGCAGAGGCGCCCCGACGAGAGCGCCGAGCGGCGTCGATTCGTGGACGGGGGGGCACCACAACGGTGAGAACGGAAAAAGCCGAGCTTTGCGGGGCGAGTTTTTCCGCGATGCACATCGGGGCCCGAGCGAGGGAGGATAATGACCGAGTGAGCTGGCCAGGCCGGGACTCGTTGCCGCCGGAGAAACGGCCAGCAGCTTTATCGGCGGCCCTGATCGCATATGCGCCCGGATCTCGCTCGTTTCTCCTTGCAGGCTGGGAGGCCGGTCTTCTCGGCCGAGCGATACACGTACACGCCCGGCCGGTGCTGGCCCGCGAGAGACGCGCGAATCCAGCGATCCGACTGTTTTTTCCGTTTTTTTCCGTTTTTTCCGTTCTTTCCGTTTTTTCCGCCTCGCAGCCGCCTGCTTTCTCCCTTTTCTCTTGGATCGTGCGCTGCGCTGTCGAAACTCGCGCATGGCTGGGATCGATTGTATAATGCGTTTCGCCGCGGCGAGCAACTGCACGAGACCGCCGATACCCAATGTACGGCGAAGCCGCAGGCGCGCGCCCGTTATCCGACTGCCATTAAGACGCTGCAAACGATCGCGCGCTTGTTCTTTCGGCCATGCGAATTACGGCCGTCCTGCTAAATGATATTTTAAACGAACAGCCAAGAGGCCGCGCGAACGCCAAATTGAATAAAGTTTTTCGGCGGCTGGCCCGAGAGCGCGGCCCGAGAGCCCGGCCCACGGCAAAAAAGACGAGGCGGCGCAAGAGTTATCGCTGCCGCGCGCGACCGCCAGAAAAAATTAAGGCGCTTCCGACGCGGTCCGTTCGGCCTGGCGTAGCCCGGCAAAAACGCGGCTCGCTCGCCGCTTGGCAAAGTTACGAGCGCGCAAACGGCCAGCGACAAGTTCGCGTTCGTGCTCGCGAGGCCGTCCGCCGGCCCCTGGGCCAGGCACGCACGCCAGCGCAGGCGGCAGCCTGCGATCGGGAAGAGAATCCGGCCGCGAAGGAGGCTTTCCGTTGCTCGCAGCGCGTAGCCACTTATCCCGCTCGCGCCCGCAGCGGCTCCTCGCAATTGCATATAAACATGCAGCAGAGACTTTTGCGCCTGAAAATTCGCTGGCCTCCGAGCGAGCGAGCGAGCGAGCAAGCTTCTAAGCCGAGCCGAGAGCGCGAGTCGGGGCAATAAACTGGCAATGGAGCAAAGGCCGATTCTGGGAAAGAGCACCTATAGCCGCGGCCGCGAGCGCGAGCGCGAGCGCGATCAATGAGTAGATGCTGCC